TTTTTTTTTTTTTTTTTTTTTTTTTTTTTTACATTTTAAGAAACATGTATACATTAAAAAAGTAAAAACTTCTCAGTAATGGAATTTCTATAAATTTTGTATGGCCTGATTTGAGTTATATTAAACATAGTGAGTGTGTTAAAAAAATTACCAAGATTTTAAGATTGATGTCAATCAGAGTATTCTAAAAGCTTTGTTCAGTTTGCTCGTTTTCATTGAAGTTGAGTTATTTTCTTGTTACCCTGCTAGTTAAAGGGAAATATTTGATACAAGTGGTTTGAGGGTTCTTGGTCAAATTTGCATGAAAGACATAAATGGTGGGTAACGTTTACATAATTAGACAAGTAACATGTGTGCATATGTGGGAAGTTTTTGAGCATAATTAAACTGCAAAACTGTAATTAGGGGTAGGGAAGCACAGATGATATCATCATATGTGGAAAGGAGGGATGGGGGTAGATAATGCTCTGCATTGCAAAGGGAATGGTATTTGGAGAATGTATCTATCATCCTTCAAAGCCCCATCTCAGACACTAGTGTATGTTAAGGTTTTGTGTGTGAATTTCATCACTTGTTTATAAACACACAGTTTAATGTCACATTTTGAGTTTTAATACCAGGTTTTCAAAGCATCACTAGATCTGGTTTCTCTTACTAGGTAAGTATATCAGTTTGTCACTTTTGAACAGACCATTTGTCTGAAAGTGTCTTTTGTACTAGAGGTGGTTTGTTGGGTATCATGTGTCGTGCAACAATTTTAACCTGGCATCAGGTTCATTCAGAAACCTCTTATGTGAGTAGTCTAGATAGGTCACTTAACTGATTTAATTACTTCAAATACACAGCACTGCCTTTATATTTTATAAACTTTCTGCACAGAAGTACAAAATACCACAACAAGTCAAAAACGTTTTTTATGCAAAGCACGAGTTTCTCCCAAGTTTATGATAAAAAAGTCTGGAACTATTATTCTGCTCCATAATAAAATAATTCATACTGTATTATAAGGGGTAGCTGTGAAATCACTTTTAATTTGTCTTAGAGTGTTTAAAGTAAGTTATATTTCATTATTTTGTTAATTTATGTAAACACAATTTCCTTGATAGATTGGAAGTTATTCTAACAAAAAAGGAAACAGGCTTGGTTTGGCAAGAATTAGTCAAAGGAGATAGTCGTGGTGAAGAAGTGTTGGATCCGGCATTAGTGGAAGAAATTCATAACCGTCTTGCTCATCTAACATCTGAAAATGAGCTGGTATTAATTACATTTCTTCCAATGTATTGTAATATTGGGTATTTCATTGTCCCTATTAAGTTCTAACAAACTGTGAAAAAGTTAACTTACCAGTGAGGAATGTTTGTGTTGCATTACATTGGGTAGAAAGAAGATATTATGAAATAACACTTCAGTTGGACATCTTCTGATCTATGTGCCAACAATATTTTAATTGGTAATCCATTGCTATATGTGATGTAAAGAAAATATAAGAGCAATTTATGTGCACAAAAATTTCTTGAATTGCAACATTTGATGATGATATTGGTTTATTATGAAATCCAAATTATTTATAAATGATATTCTAAATAGTATGTTTTGTAGTTTGACTTGATCCCTAATAGCTTTCTTGGCTCTGTAAATGTTTTTCTTTTATTTCATAAAAGTTATAATGTGCTTCTGTTCTATTTGGGAGTTATTTGAAAGGCTTTAACGAGAAAATATTATACTCTGCATTTGACATCTTGCTAATTCTGATGTTCACATAAAACTATTAAAGTCTATATGTTATGAAGAATAATATACATTAAGTGATGGCATATAAGAAAAATATAGTTTAGCTCAAATTTATATATAGGTTTTTTTTAAGTTAAAACATTCTTTTAACAGTACAAATCATTTTTTTAAATTCATGTTAAGCTACTGAATGCTTTGAGTGTTCCCAGAGTAAGTGATTATCAATTTATTAATTTTTTTAATGTTATCAATAAAGCATTGCATATTTGAAGAAAACTCTTTTAAAGCTCATTTAACAGTATTTCTGAAAAAATTGTAATCTTCATGTTGAATAGATTGATGGTTCTGCTAAACCAGCGTACAATCCTCATCAGCTGGAAGAATGTGATGTTTCCTCAGAGTTTTTTATGTTCTTGAGATTAGAGGGAGACAGCCACCATGTGACTCATCAGGTGAGTATAATACAAGGTTGAAAAAAGTACCTCTGAGTATGATATTCCTTTTCTTCAAAGTATTCTTTTTTTAAAGTAGTGCCAATCATACTTCCTTAGGAATAATAGAGTAAACTGTTGTGATTAAAAGTCTATACAATTTTGGATGAGAAAGAAAAAGAGTAGGAATTTGCTTTTAGATATTCTAAAATATAAAGTATGTTGTAGTAATTTACTTTTGAACCTGGTCACTATAAGTAGTGCTAATAATCACTATAAAGTTATTTTTCAACTGAATGTCTCTTCCATTAACATCTACTTTGGTGTATAGCTCTTTTTTTCATTTGTTTTTTATGTCAGTCCTAAAAAGAAAGAGAATAATTATTTTTATTTGGTTGTGAAAACATTTTTCCAGTTTTTGTATTCAAGATTTTTGGTACAACTACTCGTAGTCTTAAATTTTGAATGTAGCATATATTGTATTGATCATCTCATTTTTTGTGCTATAATCTGATTTAAAATGTTTGTGTTTTATACTATTCTTATAAATAAAGTATTAAATTCCACTTTGATAAATTTAACCACAATGATTTAAAGTTTTTTGTTGTTTTTTTTTGTATATGAGAATATCGTGTTTCAAAGAATTACGTATGTCTATAAAGTTGCTGTATTTCTTTTGTATAAGCAACCATTTTTTGATAAATATCAGTCTTTTGTTCATTTTTCGTATTTATTTAGAGCAATATTGGAGGTCATCAGTGGCTTTTCCAGTCTATGGTTTCACCAGAGAAGTTACCAACATTATGTTTACGTCATGATGTTGATGGGCTTTTATGGCAACCAAAAAATGTACTAAGTGAAGATGAACCAGAACAGTTCCGTGTTGAGCACATAGCTACTTTCCCGGCTCTTGGTTTTGTGCAAGCTTCCAAACAAGATCGGAAATACATAGTTGGAAGCCCCGACTTTTCTTATGCAGTTCTTAGTGATAACACTCGCCATATCTATATTTACAGACAACCAGAATCTTTGAATGCTGCTATAGAACTAAGGAATCGTAAAACAGGTCAGGAGGTATCTAGCATTGCGAAGCAGCATGTTGTGAACTTGGAACAATGTGATGCAATTTTGGGCTTACAAGCTTGTAAACATTGCATTTTTGTTTTAAGCAAATATGTCCTTTTTGCTATTAAAATAAATGAAAGTTGAAAAACAAGCCTGTATAACCATTTGCGAAGTAATAAAAGTGGATTTTGAAAAAGAAAATACTGGATTCCCTACATTACATATTCATATACTTTTTGTGTAGATTTTGTTTTAGAAGCTATATCTCTGTCACAGCTTGTTTCTGTCACAGTATTTGATTAATTCACCTTTTGCTTTTTTTTGCTTAAGATTTTATACATGTTTTATCATTTGTTGCAAGATTGATTTACTTAGTGAAAAATTTACACATTTGACATTGCTTAAAAGTTTGAGACTTAAGAAGTTAGTAATTTAAAAGTGACTTTTTTTATGAATTTGTAATTTACCAATGGTAAAGATATTTTAAGATTTTTCAATGTGGTTGTTTTTGAAATACTTTCTTGCTTTCAAACTGTGAATGAAGGTGGTCTAAGCTCAATCTCACATTATGTTACATGTTTAAGATTGTGATTGTTTCTATAATTTTTTAGTGATGTTATTTAGTAAACTCAACACATGATTCCTAGAGCTCTGCCTATCCTTCGCCATTATTTGATTAATAAGGATACAAGCTCTTACCTTAAGCTTGTTCAAAGACTTTCAGAAGTGGACCAGTTGTTTTTGTTGTCATATTTTTGACAACTTCATTTATATCTGTTATTAAAGGTTAATCTATGAGGTTTTTTTTTTTTAGCCACATTTTTTTTAGAGAAAAGCCCCAATTTGTCATCTGAGAATAACAGATTCTGAGTTCGTTGATATATCGTGAATATTTAATTGTATAGTCATTTCTCTTTTGAGTAGGTAATTATACAATCATTATAAAATATATATATATTTACCTCATTATTGGAAGCTATGTAGTAGTAGATTAAGTAAGTATTGTAAACTAATAGAGAAATATTAATGATTTCTGTATGACTTACTACTCTTGACAGTTTACCAGGCTCCTACTTAAAAACTTAAGAGTTTTTTCTAATGCAATAAAACATAAGTCAGACAGAAGAATCTATAAATTTCATGAGCCAGAAAGGTAGTTGTTTTATTTATTGTAATAAATTTTTTACTTGCATAAGACCTTTTCAACTGTAACTAGCAGATGATAGTGTATGGTTGGTTCTCAGTATATACTTGTATAGGAACTGAGATATTGCTGATATGGAAAAGAAACAAATCAATAAATTTAAACAGGCCTATTTTGACTTGCATAACCCATTCATTGTTGTCATTTTAAAGTTTTCTTTTTTATTACTGAAATTGAACAAACTTATGCTTTTAGGAAAAGTGCCAGGTTATCCTGGTTTAAAATCAATTTACATATTGCTTTCTTGTCTTCAGTTACACTAACACTAAGGCATCAGTTATATCACCAACATTACATTTTGTGGAGGTGTGCTATGAAGAGCTTGACTAGTATGTAGGATATCTAATAGTGTGTTATTTTATAAATATTGTATTGTTTCTGCTGGTCACTTGAACAGCACCTTGTAGTGAATTGATAAAACTTTTAGGGGTGAGCACAGCCCAATGGATAACATGCTGGACTGTATGTTAGGTTTCATAGTTTTATTATTGCCCCCAAAAAACTCTATGTACTTTGGGGCCATTGATGCAGTATATGATTTACAGACAATTGATCTGGATCTGCCAGGTTGTTGTTTTATTTTTTTATGTTTCCCCTTCCCACTGGTTCTTTTTTTTTTTTGACTTTAGTCTGTATTAGTTATATATAGTTTATTTTTAGTTAAAGTTTAAAGTTCGTTCGTAACTTAAGTTCGTTTACTATACTAAGTTAATTACGATTAAACGAA